AGCCCCACCCCTTCCCAAGCCCTGCCCCACCCCGTTCCACCCCACGCATGCCCATTTCCTGGCGCCAAGCTCCACCACCCCCTAAGCCACGCCCTACTAAGCCCCACCCGACACATGCGCAAGCCCTGACGCACAGCCCCACCCCTTCCCAAGCCCTGCCCCACCAAGTCCCACCCCACGCATGCGCATTTCCTGGCGCCAAGCTCCACCGCCCCCTAAGCCACGCCCTACTAAGCTCCACCCCATGCATGCGCAAGCCCTGACACTCAGCCCCAACCCTTCCCAAGCCACGCCCCAAGCCCCACCCCATGCAAAAGACCTGCCACTAAGCTCCACACCACACATGCACAAGCTCTGATGCCAAGCCCCACCCCACGCATGCGCAAGCCCTGACGCCCAGCCCCACCCCTTCCCAAGCCACACCCCAAGCCCCACCCCATGCAAAAGACCTGCCACTAAGCTCCACACCACGCATGCGAAAGCCCTGACGCCCAGCCCCACCCCTTCCCAAGCCACACCCCAAGCCCCACTCCATGCAAAAGACCTGCTGCTAAGCTCCAAACCACCCATGCACAAGCTGAAGCCAAGCCCCACCCCTTCCCAAGCCCTGCCCCACCAAGTCCACCCCACGCATGCGCATTTCCTGGCGCCAAGCTCCACCAACCCCTAAGCCACGCCCTACTAAGCCCCACCCCACGCATGCGCAAGCCCTGCCGCCCAGCCCCACCCCTTCCCAAGCCACGCCCTACCAAGCCCCACCCCACGCATGCGCATTTCCTGGCGCCAAGCTCCACCACCCCCTAAGCCACGCCCTACTAAGCTCCACCCCACGCATGCGCAAGCCCTGACGCCCAGCCCCACCCCCTCCCAAGCCACGCCCTACCAAGTCCCACCCCACGCATGCCCATTTCCTGGCGCCAAGCTACAACACCCCCTAAGCCACGTCCTACTAAGTTCCACCCCCACCGCATGCGCAAGCCCTTGCCGCCTAGTCCCACCCCTTTCCAAAGCCACACCCTAACAAGTCCCAAACCACCAATGGCCATTTCCTGGTGCCAAAGCCTCCCCAGCCGCTAAGCCATGCCTAACTAAGCACCAACTCCACGTATGCGCAAGTCATGCCGCGAAGGCTCCGCCCCTGCACAAAGCCAGGCCTTACGAAGTCCCAACCCATACGTTGACGGATGTCCCCGGACCAAGGTCGCCTGTCCGCTAAAACAGGCTCTATTACGGTCACCTCAAGGATACCGCAATTGCTACGCCAAAGACACTTTCTCCCTAAAAGATACAGAACCCTAGCAAGCCACTGCAATGGTTTAGCCGTATGGCTCTGCCGCCGAGTCACTATCTGTCCCCAAAAATTTCGCTGCCAACGCG